ACCCACGGCTCTCCAGAATATAGCCCTTGATGACCAAAAGGTACCTCTAGAGTATAGCATTTGAGGACCTAAGCGTGCCTTAGAATGTAGCCCTTGATGACCTAAGGGTATTCCCAGAATATAGCATTTGAGGAACTAAGAGTGCCCAAGGATAGAGTCCTCGAGAACCTAGGGATATCCCAGAATATTGTCCTTGACGACCTAAGGACATCTCCAGAATATAGAGTTTGGGGACCTAAGGTATCCTAGAATATAGCCCTTGAGAACCTAAGTGTATTCCGAGAATATGGCACTTGAGGACCTAAATGACAAGGGAATGCTAATGGATCACTGGTGGAGTACAAATGGAGTAGGACTGAGTACAGGTGGAGTATGAGTGGAGTAGGGTAAGTTACGGGTGGAGTAGAATGGAGTACGAGTGGAGTACCGATCGAGTAGAGTGGAGTATCGGTGGAGTAGAGTGGAGTACGAGTGGAGTACCGGTGGAGTAGAGTGGAGTACGAGTGGAGTATCGGTGGAGTAGAGTGGAGTATCGGTGGAGTCGAGTGGAGTACGAGTGGAGTATCGTTGGAGTATGCACTCCTGGAGTACCGCCTTTTCCCCCTTGTTCAATTCTCTATCTAATGGTGTATTTGTTGTATTTTTGCAATGGAAGGTGAGAGGACAAAGACCTTTCTCGATATCTGAAATGAGAGTCTCGAAGTGCCACTCACCTATTTTTTTTCGTTTGGGACCCGCTTCAGAAATGGATTCTCTATATAAGAGTTATATGTTCTCGTAGAGCATTAAATTCTGCATCTAATAATGTATTGTTTGTCTTTTTGCAATGGAAGTTGAGTGGACAAAAATCGTTCTCAATATCTGAGGGGAGTGCGTCGAAGTGCAACTCACCTGGTTTTTTTTCTCTGGGACCCATTCGGAAACCGATTCTCTATATAAGAGTTATATGTTCTTGTAGAGCATTAAATTCTGCACCGAATGATGTATTTTGTGAAACACGATCTGAAAGGAGTGTTGAAGTGTTTAGGGGTAGAAATTTGGACCCCCCCCCCCACAGACCGTGACAGAGAAATTCCATACCCATCACAGACCGTGACAGAGAAACTCCAATACCCATCACAGACCGTGACAGAGAAACTGTAGATTTGAAGCATCAAATAAACGGTCAGCTACAAATCTATCGTAAAGAAATGGAAGAAGACGTTGTCCATTTAATTCGTAACAATAGGTCCATCGCGTTTCACACTTTTAATCCCGCAAGGGATTGCGCTAACAGCTTTTTTTGTCTTTTTGTAATTGAATCTCAGTTGAGAAAAATCGATAACAATGTCTGAACTCAGTACATTGAGCTGTGACTGATCTCTTTTTTTCCCTGTCGGATCCCGTTTGAAAATTGATTCTGGCTATGAGAGTTGTATAATCTTATGGAGCATGCAATTCTGTATCGAATGATGTATTGTTTGTCTTTTTGCAATGGAATGTAGGTTCAGAAAAATTGATTACAAAATCTGAAGTCAGTACATTGAGGTGTGACTCACCTCTTTTTTTCTGATCGAAACACGTTTGGAAATTCATTCTCTATATAAGAGTTGTATACTCTTATAAATTGTTCAATTGTGCATCTAATGATTTTTTTTTGTCTTTTGTCTTGAAGTTTTCGTTTGGATGAAAAAGTTTCCGTGTGTTAGTGTTTTATGCTCATTCAACGGTTGTTAGGTGGAAGCCATGTCTATGGTTTCGTCCTCCATAGTGGAGTATTTATGTAGACCACCAGTGATTGGCTGATGTGTCGACCAATGAGAATTTTTTTCCTTCGTGGTAATTGTTCGTGTTCGTGCTGGCTTCTCATCGATATGAGAATGTGTCTCAAGACGAGTAATCCAGGTCCCGGATTCTGTCGGAAATCTGGCTTAATCCGATAAATTCCGACGGGAATCCGACAACTTCCGACAGGATCTCTGTCGGAAGTTGTCGGAATCCTTGGTAGCAGAATCCAGTCGGAAGTTATCGGATGTCGGATCCGACGATTTGCGACAGCCGGATCCGACAGTCGGAAGATGTTGGAAAGTGCGGGATCCGATGGAATCCCATAGGAATTCTGTAGCTAAATCTGATAGTAACAGAGGTGCAACAAATCCTGTTAATCAACATAAAGATTGTAAATTTTCGGTATGAAACTCCCCCAGATCTAACCAAATTTTCGTGTCAATTATAACCAGTTTTATTCGCTCTATCTGATACTGATATTTATTTATCAAATCTAAAAAGAGTACTGCTAAGATTTTGAATGCTACTAAATCTTAGAAGTACTCTTTTTAGATTTGATAAATAAATATCAGTATCAGATAGAGTGAATAAAACTGGTTATAATTGACACGAAAATTTGGTTAGATCTGGGGGAGTTTCATACCGAAAATTTACAATCTTCATGCTGATAAACAGGATTTGCTGCGCCCCTACCTAAAATGAAAAAAAAAATTATTTAAATCAGATAATTCCTGTTCAATTTCGATATTGAAACTGACCTAAAATAAAGAAAAAAAATTATTTAATTAAATAAAATACTTACCGCTCAATTCTCATGTTCAAATTGATCTAAAATAAAGAACAAAAATTATTTAATTAAATAAGATACTTACTGTTTCATTTCCATGTTCAAATTGGCCAAAGATAAAGAAAAAAATTTATTTCATCAAATAAAACACTTACGGCTCGATTTCGATGTTGAAACTGACCTGAAATAAAGAAAAAAGCTGTTAGCGCCATCCCTTGCGGGATTAAAAATGTGAAACACGATGGACCTATTATCACTAATCAAATGAACACCATTTTGTTCCATTTCTTTATGACAGATTTGTAGTTTACCGTTTATTTGATGCTTCAAAACTACAGTTTCCCTGTAGCAGTCTGGAATGGGCTCTGGCAGTTTTTCGTGACAGTCTGTAACGGTCTCTGGGATTCTCTGTCACAGTCTGCGATGGTCTCCGGGTTTCTCTGTCACGGTCTATGATGGTTTCTGTGGTTCTCTGTAGCAGTCTGAAATCGGCTCAGGGAGTTCTCTGTTACAGCCTGTGACGGTCTCTGGAGTTCTCTGTCACGGTCTGTGATGGTCTCGGGGGTTCTCTATCACGGCCTGTGATGGGTAGGGGAGTCTCTCTGTCACGGTATGTGATGGATAGGGGGTTTCTCTGTCACGGTCTGTGATGGGTATGGAATTTCTCTGTCACGATTTGTGATGGGTAGGGGGGGGGGGGAGTTTCTCTGTCACGGTCTGTGATGGGTCTCTGGAGTTCTCTGTCACGGTCTGTGATGGGTCTCTAGAGTTCTCTGTCACGGTCTGTGATGGGTCCGGAGGTTCTCTGTCACGGTCTGTGATGGGTATGGAATTTCTCTGTCACGGCCTGTGATGGGTAGGGGGGTTTCTCCAAGGGAGAAAAAACGGAATCTTGGAATCCGGTGGAATATTACGGAATCCCACGGAATCCCACGGAATCATGGAATCGAATGGAATCCATTGGAATCGAATGGAATCGAATGGAATCCGATGGAATCCAATGGAATCCAGTGGAATCCTATAGAATCTTGGAACCTTCAGTTCAAAAGCCCTTAGAAATACTACTATTGCAGGAAAATCTGTTCAGATACATCAAGAATTAATAGAACAGTCCAAGAACATTTATCGTAATTTTCTCATTCAGAACCTCTTTTCATATCTTGAAGTTGCAAAGGACGGGAAATGTTTTCCTGGGATTTTGGCCCACTGTGAATATAAAGGTTGTTCCGAGTGAAACTTTCAGCAAATACTCAGCTATATACCAGTAGCCACCACACAAAATTTCAACTTGATCCGTTGAACTTTTCCTTTACTTTCACCACACCCTAAATGTACATATAAAACCGTACAGGGGTTACCTTGTGGATCCTCGTTCTCGACTATACGATTCAGAACTGAAATGATTTTTCTAGGATCACTAGGAATAAGTGAGGGCTACAATATTGCAAGGACATGAGGTCCAGAAAAAATCTGTCTTCGTATCCATTTGAAATACACAATGCCAAATATCCATGAAAAATCCCTATAGAGGTAACCCTGTTGACCTTCGTTCTCCACTATACAATTCAGAACCGGAGCCATTTTTTCAGGATCAATATCAATTATCAGAAGCTTCAAACCTACCAAGACAAGGCCTTGCAAAAAACTTGTCTTCTAAATAATGCCTAGGACATACCATCCCCAATGGGATCATATGGATCTCATAGTGAACCTTGTGTCTTTTCGTTCTCCGCTATTTGCTTTAGAATCAAAGCCATTTTCTTCAGCATCAATATCAATCATCGAACGCTTTAAAACTACCAAGGCAAGTGAACATAAAAATGTTGTCGTTTGATTGATTATGTGGGACATATTGCTCAAAGTACATAAATTGATATATGATAATTAATTGTTAAGACCTCTGATCTGTATTCTTTTGTCGAAACTCGTTGAATTAGGAAGTCTGATGTACTTAAAAAATATAATATGAGTCCTAGAGCGATTGCGAAAATATGTGTATCTTATATGCATACGTGCTTGTACACAAACATTATTATTATAAGATTAATGATCGGTTGGTGATTTTTTTATTTGATTGCTTAGTTACTATGACCCGGTTGGAATTATCTGTTAGGTGGTTTTACTATATTTATGTGAAAGATGGCAAATCGATGGTCGAATTTATATATAGAGATGGCGATGAACCTAGTGTTTGGAAAGACTAAAGGTGTTATAATAGCATCATGAGAATGTGCTCATCAGTAGCACTATTTCAGACCACGTAATATTTCAAAGCTTAGTTTTCGATGATTCAAGATAGGAGGAGAGGTTGGTAGAAACAGTTGTTCACGTGATACTTTGAACAGATGGTCGACACGTGTGAATATTTTCGTTCTGTAGCGAGAGAGAACGCGAAATAGAAAAAAACTATTTTTCATTTATCTAACCATATTTCATTTATACAAATATGGTCATCGAGTGCGTTTGTTGTGATAGTCGTATTGATTCGAAGAATCGTCGTTCATTTCATGGCATTGCAATGCGACTTTTTGTTTCTGCACGAAGAAACATATGTCTACCAGCATCAGGTTATATATGTAATTCTTGTCGTATGATTTTTTTAAAATGGCGTACTAATTCTGAATTTGTGAACGTTTTGAATCACCTTGAAGAGGAATCAAATGAAAATATAATCGATCATGATCACAAAGTAAAATTTTCTAAGAATGTCTTGGACATCATATATTTATTTCTTTTCAGAATGATAATGAAAATTTTGAATCAGCAACGGAAACATCAACAGATGAACCAATTGATACAAATACGGTACTTTTGCCTTTAAACGTTGCCGTTTCATCACATCGGTATGTTTTGAAAGAAACAAATAATATATGCAGAATATATTTGTGTTTTAGTGAATGCTGTGTTTGTCGAAAAGTTTTGAAGTCAGGATTATGTACAGTTTCAGAATTAGATCGAGATTTTTTATTCATCAAAAGTAACATTTTCATCGAGAAAGGCAGCCGGTGCTGTGAAGAACATATTGTAAATGGACGTTTGCATATTGATGCATTAAATCAAATTCGACCAAATAAGATAGTTAAATCGTCGTTTTCTTCCAGTGATATACTAACATGCTTTAGCAAATATCGTGATCATTGTAATTCAATTAGTCTCTTTGACTTCAATATTCCATTTCACATGTAAGATATTGATTGTTACAACTTAACTGGAATTTCAAAAGACCATTTTAATCATTTGAGTGAAAAACTCTCCAATTCCAACATGAAAAATTCTTTTAATCGATCCATCCGCAATGCTTTAGGACTCTTTCTGACGAAACTTAGATTAGGACTTAGCAATAAAGTTTTAACAACAATGTTTAAGTTTTCAAATCCTATGGCGGTTTCAAGAACTTTATCTACTGTTCGCGAAGCATTATCATCAGAATTTGTTCCACAATATCTTGGATTTCAAAGCATTTCTCGTCAAGATGTTATAAACACTTATTCTTCTCCATTAGCTACTAGATTATTATCGGAAGATATGAATACAGTTGTACTCGTTGCTGATGGTACTTATTTATACCTTCAGGTTTGTAAAATAGTCATTATTTAATAGCTTATATTTCAATAACTCAATCAAAAATACGACAGTTGTTGATACTCATTATTTGTCTCTTTGCCATAATCAGTATTAACACGATAATTCTTGAATAACATAATCGGCATTTTACAAGGCATATCTGATATAGAAATAACATTAAAATACCAGCAATAGTATGAATCTTGTTGAAATAAATATGCTATTACTTTAATTCATTCTAAAGGTCAATCATAAAGTATTATATATAGTATAGCAAGTCGAAAAGATTTGATATACGATACTAAACAAAGTTTCTTTTGAAATACACTTTTCATGCTTATACTTATTGAAGAGCTAATATTCATATTAAAATTCGTAACTAACGCTTATTCACTGTAAACTTCATCCTTTTACATTACTTTTAAAAACTACTATTAGAAGATTTTTCATTGAAGATCAGTGACTATTTCTTTTTCAAATACACAAAAAATCGAACAAGCGTAAAAAATACCAGAGTTGAATCACTTTTAAAATATTATTTTAACGCTGTACTTGATGTATAAATTCGATTCATCGTTCAGTTTGACGAGAATATTGATTTTTGTAGTTGATGAAATATTTGTTGTATATTTAGAAAAGTCGAAATAACGGATTTCAACGTCATACATACAATTTACACAAACATAGATCTTTAGTGAAACCTATGTTGATTACTACTACAACAGGTTACATACTAGAAGCATATGGACCTTATTTATCAGATAGTTCAAACAATGATGCAGCAATGGAAAAAGACATATTAATAAAAAATAAAAGTGAAATTTTAAATTGGATTCATGATCATGATATAATAGTGGTGGACCGTGGATTTAGAGACAGTGTCGGATTAATGCGAGCCTTAGGTCTTGATGTATGCATGGCCGACTTTTTAAATGGCCGACATCGTTTTGACGCATTAGAGGCAAATCGATCCCGTTTTATAAGTAAGATTCGATGGGTGGTTGAATCTGAAAATGCCAGAATAAAACACTTCAAATGGCTAAACCAAACTATTCAGAATTCAACAATTCCTCAAGTACGTGATTATTTACGAATTGCCTGTGCGCTTGTTAACGCATATCGTTCACCAGCTATTTCTTCATTTATGAATGATGATATAATTGTTACTAAGATGTTAGAAAATCTTCATGAACTAAATTTACTTCGTGTACGTATTAATGATGAAATTCTTCGTTGGGTAGATGGTGATGCTTCACAACTTGTTACTTTTTCAGTACTAAGTATAGATCAAATTCGAACAATAACAGTTGGTATGTATAGTAACATAGTATTTATGATAAACAGATGTCAGTTTGTAATTCTGACCTATCTGAAAACATATCTATCGCTAAGAAATATGGTTGCTCTTAGTTGTGAAAACTAAAAGCAGCATCTATATGTAGAAGACTCAGTTAATGAGAATATGATATTTTTATTTTCTACTGAGAATTTTTTTAATTTTCCCTAGACTGAAAGGCTAGGGTCTAGAAACCGAAATTCACCTGTGTCTGTCTGTCTGTCCGTCTGTCTGTCGGTAACGCGGTCAAAATGGCCATGATAACTATGGCACAATCGGTCATTTTTTTGGTACAAACGACC